GAGGAAAAAAAAATTAACTAAAAAACAAGGCTACATTTGATTTTTGCAGGCATAGTTAACAAGAACAACTAGAAAGAATGGTTGCATCACATCTGTATAGCAAGAAGCATGGATCATGTAAATGGTTCTTCCTGTGGCTTTTATTGAAATCCCCACATAGCTTCACGCAGACAGCAAAATTGAAGCAAATACTCAGTACAACTTCCGAGGCTTCAGTACATGCATATTTCATCTCTGGTTCATAAAATCACAGCATAAGCTGAGTTGGAAGGAACCCATGAGGGCCATCATGTCCAACTCCAGGCCATGCACAGAACCATCCCCAAGAGTTACACCATGTGCCTGAGAGAATTGTCCAAATGCTTCTTGATCTCTGTCAGGCTCGGTGCTGTGACCACTAACCTGGGGAGCTTGTTCAAATAGAAGAATCTTTTTCTAACATCCAACCTAAACCTCCCCTGACACAACTTCAGGCTATTCCCTCAGATCTTGTCGCTGGGTGCAGGAGAGAAGAGTTCGGTGTCTGCCCCACCTCTTCCCCTCAAAAGGAATTTGTAACTGCAATGGGGTCTCCCCTCAGTCTCCTCCAGGCTGAACAAACCCAGGGACCTCAGCCACTCCTCACACAACTTCCCCTCAAGGTGCATCACCATCTTTTTTGCTCTCCTTTGGATGATCTCTAAGAGTTGAATATCTTCCTTATATTGTGGCACCCAAAACTGCCCCCAGCGCTTGAGGTGAAGCCTCCCCACTGCAGAGCAGAGCAGGACAATCTCCTCCCTTGCCCAGCTGGTGATGCTGTCCCTGATGCACCCCAGGACAGAGCTGGTCCTCCTGTCTGATAGGGCACTGCTGGCTTATGATCAACTTGCCATCAAGCAGGACCCCCCCAGGTGCCTTTCTGTGGCACTGCTTGTTGACAAGGAAGCCACAGCTTTTGTGCCAGCTCTAGTGGTTCAGCTTAGCAAGCCTTTTGTTTGATCAGCAATGTTGAGCAGATAACAAGAAGCAGATCCTGACAAAGCTTATTGCATCTTAAGGGTTTTATGAAGAGCTGACAAGGCTTCTGCATAATTAAACAGATTTATGCTTAGAACAACTTTGAAACTTCAAAATGCCATGTAACTCATGTAAGTGCATGCTGACAGCATAGATCAGACAAACTCCAGACAACGACAAACTCCAGAAAACGACTGTTTTACTTCCATTTCTAAGTTTCGGGCCTGCTACACAGAGGAATGTCTGTATTTTACTAGAAGTTCTTTGTAATACATGCCAGCCATGACCAAAGATTGTCCAATCACCCTCACAACAAGCTGGTCAGCACTGGTAGACTGCAGGACTAGACTTCCATTCCTTCTGCCCTTTTGTGGGATCTATGGACAGCTCATGTAGGGGCAAAACAGAAACAGCAGAAGTTGAGCAGGTGCTATCTTGTGTCTCTCTGTAAGTTTACACTTGGTGACAAAGCTTAGGATGCAGCAGCAGCAGCACAGGGGGAATTCTTGCCATGCTCTTCAGTATGTGTTGATAGTTGATAATTGCCATGCTGTATACTGACTCAGAAAAACTGCCTAGTCCTTATGGACAGCTCCTTTCAGTGAAGGGGGAAATATGCTGATCTTTAGAGATGCTCAGTATCTGAGAGCACTGAACTATCACCCCATTCAGCATCCTTCAAGCTGAAATTTTTCCATTCTCCCATTAGCAGCCCTAAAGAAGGCTTAAGTCCATAAGATCTTAATTATTTGTCTCTTTTGTTAACCACTATGTACTCAACACTATTTTCATCACACTTACAAGGAGCAGGACCATCAGACCATCTTCAACACCTACCAAAAAAAAAAAAAGTTTAATTCCAACTATATGTGGTTAACACCAAGCATTATTGGGATGCAAAAATATCTGAGGCACAAAACTACAGAGTTGGTTTTTTTTAAGATGCTTTCATGAGAGTGAAGCGGCCACATCAGTTATCAATTACAGCAAAACTTCAAAGCAGCACAAAAGCAGAGGATTCCTTAGGTTATAGGAGACAGTGTCCAGAGTGCAACAAATGTGTGCCATGCTTTCACTATTTTAGGTGGGAACATAAAATGTATTATGTATGCAGGTAAAAGCATGTGTGTGTGTGTGAGCCCATGTGTGTGTGCATCCATGTATACATAATAGCCAAGAGAAAAAAGGAGAGTCAGCCAGTTTTCCCTAGAGAAATCTAAGTATTCACAAAATTTCAAGCCCTCCAAGACCTAGTGCTACAGTGGTGAATCAAGAAACACATGGATTCTGCTTTTTGTACTCTTCTCTGGCAACAGAATGACATCAGTCCAATGGCTTTTCAGACGTGCACTGCTTCAACCCCAGTGACTGGTGGCCAAGAGCCCTTTCTGCCCCAGTGACTGGCACTGACACCCCACTCACTTAGGTGGCTGCCTTTACAGGTCTGGGGCACCAAAACTCCTGGCTCAAATCCAGTTGCTGGCACCAAATTCATCACATCAGTTCACCCAGTAGCTGGTACTTAGTCCTTGCAGCAGTCATGCACATGAGACAGAGACAGTGACTATGCAGTTAGATAAGAAAGGATGTAAGAAGAATTTAGAAGAGATTGTAGTAATCAGGTGTCATAACAGTCAACATGACATGTCACCAACATGGTGACCAATCTCATTTTACAGGCACCTAGTTCCTCCTACACCCTTTTCTGGCTGACCCTATTCCTTCCATGAATCTTCAGCAACTGCCAAGTCTCATCAGCCTCTCCAGAATCCTGCATCCTTTGAGTCTGCATCCTTATCAGTTGCCCCACTGTGCCTCCAAATTTATTGCTATCCCATCAATAACTGAGATTAGCCATATTTGTTTCTTAATCACAGTTACATTTCTCTGTCATTTTTGTGTTTCTGCCTATCTTGTTCACAGGTTTCCTTTTCCCCTTAGTATCCCATATGACAAGGTTATTTACCAGCCAGTCACAGGTTCTAACTCCAAGATTTTGTGTCTTTTTCTTTCTTAATCTCTAACACAGACAGAATAATTTAAAATCACGGACAAATTGACGTATTATCGAAGGGGTTCCCATAGTCAGACAGCAGGATTAGAAAGGAGACAACAATGGAAAAGGCATCAGGAGTACAATTTGTTGCTGATGCAGCCTGAAAAGACTTTCATTTGGAATTACTAAAATGAAAATTGTCAAAATAGTTCAACATTTTTTCACATTAACTTTGTCATATTTTGGGTTTTGTTTTCATTCTGGTCCAGAGCAGAAATCTTTACTAACAACTGTAGCTTGGGTTTTTCAAGCAGCTGCATTTACTTTATTGCTTATAACTTCATTGCTACTATATTTATTATTTATTTGTTACTTTATTCCTATCACCTATTTTACTTCATTATTATATTTAGCCTCCTCATTTTACACTATGATTAGGAATGGTCTAGGGATGACATAAAAAAGAAAAAGACAAAGAATAAAAAGACAAAGAACATCCGTAGTGAACAAAAATCTAAGAAAGAGTTTGCCTGAATCAGCTTCTTATGATCAGTTTACTAAATGTTTTTGTTGTAGTCTGTATCCTTACTTTCGGAGGATTATTTTGAATGTAGAATTGACTTTGAAATGTTCCATGGAATTTTTTCAAAACATGAATTCCCTGCAATACACTCTAAGAAAAACACCCAGAAGGCTGAGCTTCATTAGAATTATTCCAAAGGCCCATGCCAAAATATTTGCAGAAACTTAATGTTTTCTTGGATCTCAGTTTGAAGCAAATAGGGCAGTAATAGGTATAAAACAAATTTGTAAACTTCTCCAACAGGCTGCATAGATCTGCAAAACAACAACAAGAATTCTGTTTGAGTGCTGTTTTGTTGGGTGGTATTTTGTTTGGGTTTGTTTGGTTAGGGTTGCGTTGGTTTTGGGTTTTCTCGTTTTTTTGTCCCTGGGATTATATGCACTGGCTATGCCAGAGGCAAGGTTAAACTAGTAGTGTTAATCTTTGGCAAGTGTTGGTGGCCTAATGGTGCTGTTGTTTGCCACAATAATTAGTTTGACTCAGCTTTGACATGGCAACACAGATGGTGATGAGGGCGTTACCAGCAGACAGCAGATGGCACAGCTCAAATGTCTGCAGCCTTAGATCTCCCTCTGGTGGCTTCATCTCAAACCCTTAGGAGTTCCTGCTGCCCCTGAGCTGGGAGAGAAAGCTCAGCCAAGACCATTGCATATTTTCACTAGCACTGAGGGTTCCGCTCTGGTAGCATCCTGGGCACCTTGGAAAGTGTTGACACTTGAGAGTTTTGACTGCTTGAAGCACTCTGTCTCAAGTGAGGCCCCTTGCTGAGCAATCAGCAGTCTCACCCATGTGTACTTCCATATCCCCTCTAAAGATAATCCATTGGACATGAATCCTAGAAGTGTCAGGTTCAACAAATTGTCAATTTTTGGAGCTCCAATCCAAGTATTTTTGCTTGCCTTGACAAAGACATCTTATTTGCTTGGTCCAGGATGCACAGGCTCTTACTCTAAAAGATTACAGAACAAAATGCAACAGAGAGAGTAATTTCTCCTTAGCATGTTGTCTTTTCCTTTCCCATAGCAAAATGGAAAAAAAATTCATTTTCAGATGTAACATTTTACACTACTAAAAGAAACAACATGCTAGTATTATTTTATTCTTTTGCAATAGAGAAGCAAACACACATTCAGTTTTTATAGCTGCCACAAAACAAAGGCTCACTTTTGAGAATCTAAACTTATCCCCACCTTTCCTGTACATTGATATCACTGTAAGAATACTGTGCTGTAGAAGTGCAGTTTCCAAAGTATCTGTTCTGGTTTTGAAGTTTTGCAGCACTTTTGACCTGCTTATCACTTTTCAAAGGGACTGATGTAGAGCAGGCAAAAATGGAAACTCCTGCTCATTTCAAGTCCATGTGTGAATATGGTACCATGGTAGACCACAGTCTTCCAAAAGTGTTCTTCAGATTGAGGCATATATTGCAATGGCACAAAAAATAATATGTTTTCTTGTTAATTTTGCTGGAGGTGGAAATCCATAAATCCATAAACCAAACAATGGACAAGAGTCTTCTCAAATTGTGACAACACTAAATGTTCTCTTCTCTCCATGCAACTCAGTTCAGCAACAGCTTATCCCCTTATTTATTTTCCTACAGAAAAAGGAAAAGGGCAGTTTCACACCTTTAACACATACACAGGAGTTGCTCATATATATTGTTAGCACTGAATTCAACTTAGAAAAGATGGGTGTCTCCTTGAAAGAAACCCCAAAAGATCCCTGAACCTCTACCAAAGAAACAAACAAAAAACCAACCAGAAAAACTCCCTCCAACAAGCACCTCTTATTGACATGCTTCAGCAAGAGGAGAAGCAGAAAAAAAATAAACTTCCAAGAAGAAAAAAGAGGCATTTTCTACTATTTCCATCAAAGGCAAATTTCTAATGACTAATGGCAACAGTAAGAGGAGACAAGAAGCAAAGCTGACCTGCTGTGTGCAACTGAGGGAGCAACTGGACCTGTCATGTTTGTTCCTTTTGTTGGCTACAAAATAGTTAGGGGAACCAAACCCACTATCTTTTTGCTTGAATATGATACTTAAATGTTTACATTTGATGAAAATCTGTCCTATTTACTGTGCTTACGTGAGTTTGTATAAGTTAATTCCTCAAAGTTTGTTCCTGGTATGTTATTTTTTTTTTTCCCTAAAGCCTTCATGTCAAGTAAACACTGTGTGGTTTCCCATCCATGGAGATTTGGATTCACTGCCTTTCAGTATGCATGTTTGACTATATAATGGTTTCCCTCTGACTGCTTTGAAGCAGAGAAATGCACCCATGCTTCTAGCCTTTATGTTGTAATATCACTCTTTTTCTCCCACAGAAAGCATCTAAATATAAATAAGAGTCCAAATATCTGGAAAACAAAACAAAAAAAAAATAATTTTCAGTTACATTAAAATCCTTTGATACAGGGAAAATGCAGAAACATTCTTTTGCTTCTGTCACTTTCTTTGAAACTAAAACAACATTGGTTTATAATGGGACTGAGAGTGCTTTATACAACAGGAGTTAAATTCACAGCTGGGCAAGGTTCTTGCATGCATCAGCAAAGACTTGCATCAGGCCCCTAAGGACTTCAGTGGAACTGAGAATGCTCCCATGATTCTATACAGAGCCTTTAATCTCATACAATGCTTGAGAAAACTGCATTATATTCTTGAAAAAAAATATTATACACTAGTCAAAGATGTGTGTTGTCTGAAATTATCATGCCTGTCAGGTTCTATTTTGATATCACTTGCCTAAGTTCAGAGAGCACGTGACTCTGTCCTTCTGTCTTTCTGCCTCCTTAGAGGCTCAACTGCGATTAGTCTCAGCTAACTATATTGCTTGACCTATACAAGCAGAATTGTAAGGGAAACAGTGCAATACTTTTTGCAGTTTTAATAATAAAAGAGTGCAAACACTTTATGTGGGACTCAAATTCAGTCAAAGGAAGAAACTGAGAGTTTCTGTCCAGGCAGAGGCCTGGGACAGAGCTGGGAAAAAATGTAAATAATTCTTTATCTCTCTTGTTTTTCACATTGTTTATAGTTAAGTTCTATCACTATGCATCAAGCACTCTGCACCAATGCTGGTGGGTTGTTTTCACTTCAGAACCAATGGATTTGGTCCTTGTGGAGCTCTGTATAAAAGAGTAGTGTATTTTGAATAAAGAGGAGTTTTACTGTTACAGCCTTCTCAATCAGAGTTCTCCTCATTCCCATCCTGCCTCGACAGCGATAACTTCATATGTGTACATATTATTATTTTCTAATTTAGAAGACAAATTGTGATACTTCATAATACACAGCATTATGCTCTGCAAGAAAACCAGGGGAGGCAAGTCTTGTTGTAAGTAGCCAAGTGTAGGCTGGGCACCACTTTGCTCCTGGGCAGGTGTGGAATTGCTTTTACATCACTTGCTTTCTTCCATAATTTTCCTCTTTACTGTCTTCACTTTGACCCATTACTGTCTTCACTTTGACCCATAACTGCTTTTTTGATTTGCTTTGGGTTCTGCTTTTTCCTCCCATCCCACTGGGAAGCTGCAGTGAGAAGTGACTGGAAGGGAGCTTAGCTGCTGCCCAGGATCAACCCACCAAACCAAACAAAAAAAGCAGTCATTACTTGCTGTTGGGTGAGTTTGCTGGCAGCAGAATGCCTCTTGCAGAGAGAGCCATTAACAACTGTGCCTGAGCCATCTCCGTGGAAGCAAAGCAGGAGGATGGAAGTGTGCAGCACAAAGAATTGCGCTGCTCACACCTGGGACACAAGAGGACATCTGGGTAAGGACAGAGAGAAGCAATTCCTCACATATTAGTAATTAACCAAGAGGTTGTCATGTAAGTGTAGGTCTGGTATAGTATGTTACGTTTCACATACATGCTGAAAAGCTAGACAGTAAGCCAGCTACCTAAAGCTCTGCTGACATCTGGTGCTGAGCAGAAAATGAGTTTTGCAATGAGGTTCTCCACTTTGCAACACTATCTTATGGGACAGGAGTGGCATTTTTCAGCCTGTCTCCCAAAACACAGCCTGCTTAGCATACTCACATGTCTAGAGAGTCTCAGTTCTCAGACAAAGCCTCTTTAGGAATACTTGAAATTAACAATGAAGTAAAAGCTGAAAACCCCATATTAATTAGTGGGAACATCACATTTTTGTCAAGATTTTAATCCCTCATGGAGCATAGAGCTGAGTTTTTAATCAATGGTCACCTTAATTGGAATAGATTTTGTGTCTTGCAATTTACTTCTTGATAGAATTGATTAAAACAAAAAATTATTTAGGCATTTTTTCAAAATCTGGTGTACTTCAACAAAAATAAGAGATATTTGCGAGAAATGCTTTATATTTTCAGAGTCATAGAGCCATCATCTCCAACAACTAGAGTTGGGTAAGGGTTTCTAGGTAATGATTTTTTGCAAAAAAAAAGACATCAAGTATTTTAATTTTGCTAGTGAGTTCAACAGAATTCATATTTCTGTTTCAGTTTTGCTGCTCTGCCCATTTCTGTACGTATTAATATATCAATTGCCAGGAATAAAACTCAAAATCAATTATAAATTAAAAATAATTTTTAAACATTCCACTTTTGTGAGAGAATTTCAAACAATACTATTTCTAAAGATGTTTTTGTTTGTACTGCTCCTGTAAATGTTCAGGGGGCATGTTAGCAAAAAAACATCGTTAGTTATCAAAAAACATTGCTGGAATGTTTCCATGCTCTCAGAAAACTGTCATTTTTTTTTCCTTTTCCAAGAAAAAGAAAGGGTGAGCAGTCTGCTTTCAGGACATTGAAGCCTAATGTGTTACAAAACCACTCAGGATGAAATAATAATAATTGATATGAAATAATCTGAAACAAAAACTATCCATTTCCATGTAGGAAAACTGTGCTACGTAATACAAACATGTTAAATGGACTGGATAGATAAAATCTATCTGAATTTTTTAAGTACTTGTGAGAGCCTTCCATGGAAAATCTTTCAGGAAGATGCATAGGCATATGAAGGAAAAGGGAAGTGCTATGACAGATAAAACTAGCTAGGAAAAACCATGAGACTGAACAGCCAGCCCTCAACATGGCAAAGCATATCACATATTCAGACCTGGTCTTCAATATAAAGAAGTTAATTAGGTCATGATAGGCTGAATTAAATCTGAATTATTGATTTGAAGTGCAAATCAACTATTAGAAGGTGAAAGAGAAAGTATTTCCCCCTAAAGTATATGGCTATTGCTTTAGCTAAAAAAATGAGCTTCAAGACAACTTTCAAATAAACCCAGAATTTGATTTATTAAGCCTAATCTTACAAATGGATCTTTTCACCTTGTGCCCAGTTTTTATCACCACTTAGCTCAAATAGTGGAATAATCCAGGCTCCTCCCATATACTCAAATTCACTGAAGTCTTGTTCACAGGCTGCTATTGAAGAACTCCCCTGATTTCTCAATGTTCGTGCCTGAAAGGCTTCTTCATTGCAGAAATAGATGCAAAATGTTCTGGCAACTTCATAATTACCTGTTCTTTCAAAATGCTTGTCTTGCTGCTGTGTCCCTCTGCCTGTCTGCAGTATGGGCTGTGGCATTCCACAGGCACAGCTGAGTTTGCTTCTAGGAAAAAAGAAATCTATATCAGCCTAGAGAGAGGGCTCTGCAGCGCAGCCCCAGGCTGTACCCACAAGGTCAGAAAGCCACCACTTAAGTTCTTTGGGCACTTTCCTAAGTAGAAAAAATTTAGGGATATCACTGTCTGCAATGAAGTATTGTTGCCAAAGTGGTCATTCTTTCCAACCATTTCAAGACAAACATAAAGGACTGCATCTGTTCACAAAGGAGAAGAAAAGTGGATTAGATTGTTGAAGAGTAGAACTAAGAACAAAGAAAAGGTGTCACTGGGATCAGAGAGCAGCTCCAGACCCTGACTTTTGGCCAGATGTACATGCAGCATCTGTTCTGGGTGAAACGGTAAAGAAGAAAATTTCCATTTGTTGGAAGTATTAAGTGTATGGAAATTTGGTGTAATGTATCTGAGGAGGTGAGATCAAAAATGTTACCCATTCTAAACAGAAAAATTTCAATGTATAAAAAAAAAAAAAAGTGAAGGCAGCAGAACAGGCCCTTGATTGCAGCTTCGGTACTACTATAAAATATAAGCTACATTTGAAAAGCAGATATGAGGAAAAGCTAATACAATGGTAATGCTTTTAAAATTACATTAAGAGATATAAGAATTTATCCATTTCAATTTTCTTAAAATAAAATCTACAGTAAAGGAAGAAGGCAACATTTTAGTAACAGAGGGATCTATTTCCGCTAAGACACTTGCCTTCACAATTGCATATTAGTTGTTTGTGTGGAAATAGTAGTTTAGAAGAACAGTTTAGTTGTGCAATAACCCCCATGATTATGATGAAAGCTCCCATTTTCACATCTTTCTTCTGTCACTGAAAAAACAAGTTTGTTTTCATATAGTGAGGATGCTCCAGCAAGCTCCAGAATTTGCTAGTATTGTTGGCATGTATAAATAGAGCATTTTTAATGTGCCACAGGGAATCTGCAGCTGCTTGCTGAATACAGACAGAAAGCAAATGTTTTGCTCTTGTTAAGATCTGCTTGCTTGTCCTCCAAGCTTCTCTGCTCTGAATGAATTTCATTGGAGCCAAGCCCTCACTAGGTGCATTATGTTTGCATAATAAGGGGTATTTTCTGAAGCTGCTTCATGTTAATGACTGCCCTGAGGCTGAGTGAGAAATACAGGTACCTTCCACCATGTGCACAGTGGTCCATTTTGCAAACAGTCCTTCAAAAACACAGCTTTGACTTACCTGGTGGAAGAATGTGTCCAGTTCCCTTGAACCATATTTAAACTTCACAAATTGTCTCTTTATTCACATACCACATGAACACCTAAAAAAAAATTACTTCATTTTACTCCTCCAGCTTTGATTGATAAAGATCCAATTTTCCTTCGCATTGAGATTCTGTCTCTTCACACTAATGTCTCCTTGACTGGTAAAAGAGGACTTAAGAATTACACCCTAAATGCCTTGCTTCAGACATGAGTCATTGCTTCATTGTTGCATGAATACACCTGTTCTTAGACTTAAAATAGCAAAGAGGACAAGTTGCTTGAGTCACCATGCCTTAAATTGTCTGAAATTGAAGATTAACAAGAATAAAGCAATATATTGCATTTCAACAAGGCAAAAAGTGAATTATTTTTAGATGTCTGAGTTGATATTAGGAAGTATTTTATCAGCGGTACTTTTGCTAAGGAACAACTGATGGGAAACGTCACAGTTTTACATTTTGTCTGAAGATTATGCTGTAAAACAAAAACATATGTATATATCCTTTAGAGGATAAATTAATTCAGAGGATTATGCACAGTCAGTAAAATGCAAGAAAGATGCATTACTCCAAAGCCTATCAGAGCATCAATAAGCTGCTCCCATAAACTTCTTAACTTGACAAGACAAAACATAACTGTATATAAACGATCATAGAATGGCTGAGGTTAAGAGAGATATCTGGAGGTCACCGGTCCAACATCCCCTCTCTGTGTCCAGATGTCTTTAAAATTTCTCCAAGCAAGGAAAGTTCACAATCAACTCATTAACCTCCATTGCTTCAAGGGAACATGGCTATTTAATCATCAACTTGGAGTACACCAGAACCATTTCCAAAAGGCTTATATTTCTGAAAGAAATCCATACAGCAGTGGGGAAGATGTTGGAAGATTCTTTTAACTTTAGCAATGTAGTGTAATTTGTGTAGATTTTGCACTGTAGTGTATTTTGTGTAATTAGTGTAGATTTGTGGTCAATTCTTAGATTTGTCCCCTACACCTGTGACTAGTAAGTAATTTTCCAGCTAAAGTTTCCTTACTTTCTTGTATTAGTGATTAATATGTACTAGCTGATGTCTTAATTTTGAGAACAAGGATTGCATGTCAGAGCAAAGAATGATCAGAGAAATACATTATTACTTGATGACATATTTGAGATGGTCACAATGAGAAAAGATTCATTAGAAGATCTGGAACCATATTCAAATAAGTCTGTGGAAATAATTAGCATATATGCATGTATCCAAAAATATGATGAATATGTATTGGTTTCAGGAATATAACCTGGTCTGATAGCTTCCTTACCATGCATATTTTGAAGAAGATTCCAGCAGTGAATATTGCATCCAGCAGTGCTAGTAAGTAGTGTTGGCTTTCTAATCTAACAAATTTGTTTGAGAGTTTTATTTTCCGGTTTTCAGTGACAAGACCTGAATCTTTTTACTCTAGGGTTTATCCTGTCTGAGTGGACCTCAGCTTGTGCTGGTTCCTGGGTTTCTTCCTTCCCAGGTGCAGAAATTTGTCCTTACTTGCTTTGAACTACACGAGGCTCCTCATGAAGCCATTTCTTCAACTTGTCAGGGACCCTCAGGAAGGCCCAACACCCCTCTGGTATATCAGCTGCCCTCCCAGTTTTGAACCATCACCAAACTTGCTGAGGGCACACTCTGCCCCAGCATGCAGACCATATGAAAATGGACAGGACTGCTCCCAGACTTGACCTCTGGGATGAAGCATTAGTTATTGGCCTCCAACTAGACCCCGTGTGACTGACCACTGACCTCTGAGCCTGCCTATTCAGTCTCAGACTCGATGAGGTTGGCTCATCCAGACCACCATTTATGAGCTTCCCTGTGAAGGTGTTACAGGAGAATGTGATGGAAACATTACTGAAGACAAGGTAGAAAACAACAACTGCCCTCCCCTCGTCTACTAAGTCAGTCAACTTGTTGTGGAAGGTACCAGATCAGTAAAGATTACTTGGTGAATCCATGCTGATCACGCGCAACACTTTGTATCCAAACTAGTAATATGGCCTCTAGAATATAATTAAAACCCTATTGTTCTTTTCTTTTTTTTAGTAGTACTGAAATAAGGATAAAGAAAAAGAACTATGCTTTGCTGCAAACTGTGTGCTCAGTTGCAATTGATAAAATCTTTTGATATTATAACAGAAAACTAATCTAGGATGGGCTCAAATCAAAGTATGGGATGTCACTAGCACTGTCCAGTCCCTCTCATCTAATAAGATATAGAAGTTTCTATCACATCATGGAAAGCATGCACTACTGCATGCACTTTGAAGTGTTTAAAGATCCTCTTGATCTGGCAGGACTTTTCATATGTTCATGCTGAACTTTTCTTGGAGTTTGGGAGTTTTCAGTCATGTTTCTCATGCTAATTTCAAAGAAGTCTGGAAAATGAGCAGCAAAACTCCAGCTCTTTGCTTCTGTGTGTGGAAGGTGTTGTGCTGCCAATAACAAACACGTATTTTAAGCTATCTTGGGCACAGAGCAATCCTTTTGTGACCCTTTTAATTGAGTTTTTGAGCTATGTATTAATATCTTCCTATTTTCTCCCAAGCTGACATGTTACCTAAAAAAAGTTCACTGTACAAGCATGAAGCTCCTTGCCTATGCCTCAACTGCCACTGAGAAAAATTCCAACTATTTTGCTCAAAAGCATTCACATTAATCTGGACTACGAAAAAGAATAGCTTGAGCCTTGTTTGCTTTGCTTTTATTAACACAGTACAAAATACTATTTTTGTAGCGTTTTTTTATTCCTTTGGGCATCCATATGAGGCCTGCATTAAAACCATGCACAACCTTAAGCCGGTGTGGTCTTTTTATGCAGTAGAAATTCATCATTTTTCTCCATGAAGTTGTAAAATTGAGTAAGACTGGGTGCAAGCCAGCATGCTGAAGACCCAAAATTTTGCTTCTATCTCAGCCACCATTAGAAGTTTCCCCTTGAGTCAGCACCTTTACTGTGTCTAGGCTTCTTGGCGCCAGAATGGCTTAGCACAGTGGGGCTGTAACTCAGAAGGGAATTCCATGCACCATTATAAATTTCTACACACATTCTGGAATTTTTTATTCCAGGGTCACTTTTTCTGATAGAAGTAACCACAGAACTATAAAACTAAATACCCTATTACTGCACAGAGGTTAGGTGAAAGAGTAGCAGGCATATTGTTCTCTTTTCTGAACAACAATAGTCAAGGTCGTAGCCTCACACTTCCAGAAAAAACTCCAAAAAAACACACAGTAAGGATGTTCACTAGGACTTTGCTTTGTATTAGACAGAGTGAGAAATGGTCCAAGGATAGTGTAACAAAGCCTGAAACTTCCCATTTCAAGTGCAGCAATTATTTGTTTCTGATTTGCATTCTGGTTTAAACTAGCAAACTATCCCTAGGTGTTGCAGTCAGTCCTTTCCACTTGCCTTCCTGCTCACTCATAATTATTAAAGCAAACATGGACACATCTCAACAGCCGCAACATAAACTCAATGAAAGCATATAGCAGTGCAGACATCCAAACATTATAATCTGAAAACTGCTTTCTTCCTGGGCTGAAAGGGGAGCTTATATCTCAGCATTACCTGCAAGTGTTTACTCAGATCCCTTCCAATACATGCATCTGGATTCTGGAAAAAAAAAGTCCCAATCCAAGAAACCTCAGCTGCATGAGGTTAAAAAATGAGAGGAATAGAGTATACATTTTGGACCTCAAGAGAGGGCAAGAGTCCTGCCTGAGTAGGTCCTGGTGGTATGTGGAGCTACCACATTGTTAACCCTTGCAGCTTGATATTAAATTTTCAGAGCATAGTAAGGTGAGGTCAGGACACTATGATCAGGCAGTGGTAGGAAATTCTGATACATCAAGCTAATTTAATACACCTAGCCATATTATAAAGGTCATGATATTAAGACTCAGGCAGGCTATTCATTTTTATTGGGAGGCTTATGCTCAGCTGGCTGCTGTTTCGCTTCATCAATTTTAATTCTGCTCCTGTACAATAGATTATTGTAACTGCAAGCCACATGATTGAAGATAGGTTTCACTCAAACCAGGAGTTCCTCTGACAGCTGTGTGACCAGACCAGCTACTGAGCTGTGTAGGCACAAGAGCTCTGGAAGAAAGTGGTGCTACATATAGCCTGCACTGGTTTATCATCCCAAATATTTAACACAAGTAAAGCCCACATTTGTAGATTTACAGTATCCAGGCATATTCAACCCACCCTTAAACCACTACCCTTTGTTTTATGTCTCTTGCAGTTCTCAGAATCATAAAGCTGTCTTTGTGAGACTTTGCTTAGCCATGAGGTTTAATCATTTTAACCTCTATGCACTGGATTTCCATGTAGTAACAGTTCATGGAAAAGATTAAAGATAAACCAGGTCTTAATCCCTGCTTTCCACCTTTGGCCCAAGCTTGGCATCTGTTGACTCTGCCCCACACTGAATGACACAATTCAATGAACAATCCTTGAAAGTATTATATGTCCTGAACTGGGAATAGAGTTTGGCTTGTTGGACAACCTGCCCAATGGTCACTGCATCTCTTTCACCATGACAAAAAACAGTGGCAGATATACCCTAGATGTGGAGGAGGCTGCGTTCAGGGAAACTGGGAAGAATAATTCTTTGGAGAGAGGTAAAACAGAGAAAAAACATGTTTTACCAGCACCTTAATGTAATTTTAAACAGCATTTGAGATATTATATTTTGTGCCTGATGAAGAAATGTGAGCCAAGTACCACATGCACATGGAAATGAACCTCTGGCTCTGAAATTATGTGTTTCAAAGGACTAATAAATGCTGCCACCTACTTAACAGTATGTCACTGATGTTCATACATGTTTGATTCAAAAAGTAACAGATAAGGCCCATCAAAATGAGAAGGGAAGCCAAGATGTTCCCATGCTTGATGGTCCAGCACAAAAGAGGCATGGGGTTCTTTCCAATTCTTTCTTACTTCCAATTATTTTATTTCTAAGAAAATCAAGTGTTACACCAGTGTAATTGTGAAGCAGCCCTTCC